TCGAGAAGGTTTTGCGGGAGTAGTCGAAGTTGTCCTCGTCCAAACTTGGCACGTCCAAATCAGCCAATAACAACTTTGCAACTTAACAACTCTCAGACGATGGAGTGTGGATGTTTGTGTGACGAGGGTCAAACTGTGGATCAGCACTTGTGCGTTTCGTGCATCCTACTGCTAGCGTGCACCTCATTGGTCAGCACGTGCTAGCACGTGTTTGGGTGAGCTACATTCTCTGGCACGTGAATGGCTCACGTCCCAACCAATGGGTGCCACGCCACACAGAGGCACATAATAGTCTCTGTGCAGGCACCACGCGTCACAAGTACGCGACTTCGATATGTCTCCTCAGCAGGCTCGTGGATTAAGCAATCACGGACACAGGTCAACAGGGCCACTGGAGCAAAGACAAGCGATGACGAGGGTATGTACCACCCACTATGGCAAATATTTATCAATGTTTGATCATTCAACACAAGTCGATGGTCAACAAACAGCATCTCGAAAGACGCCGGCGAGCATGTATTTCAGAGAAGATGACAGAGTTACATGACATAGCGATGTCATAGGTTGGTGGCGATGTAAGTTTGATTTGGTCGATTTTTTAAAGGGATTGCGGTACACATATCCTAATTTCGACTTTATCATTTACAGCCACGGAATTACAGTCGGTTAGACAAGCGCACTCTTCTCAACAACTGCATAGAGGTACTTGAGACTGTGTCCTACGTGATGCGTGAATGCCTGAAGTACAGGCCAGACTAAAAAGAGTGTTTGGACTTCGATTAAGCTCGAGAATGGCCTCCTCAGTTGCCAAAGACAAGGAAGATATGCCTTCACCAACGCCAATCCAACCATCAACCGCACTTACTGAAAAGACTCAGAAAATCGCAAATGAGACCCCCCAGAGTGGATACCAGGGCAGTTTCGCCAGCTGCCTCCAACTACATAACCACAATCAGCCAAACTTCAGTGCGGACACCGACGTCATCTGCACCCCAATTCGTCAGCTTCATGAGGCAGCACACCATCACCCACCACTTAATCAATCCCAAGATCACATGAATAAGAGATGTGTTGTTAAAATGAACCACTTCATTTTTCGAACAAACGTGGTGACATTTGGTTTCGTGAGCAGTTGACTTGCGAATCGAATAGCTGTGCCTTCACACACGATTAAACTAGTGGTTGTGGACAGACAACCTGTATACTGTAGAGAGTGCTGCAACTTTGGATGGGTTTACGAAATCCACATCTGCAACTCGAAAACCTCATCCAGATTTCGAGGGAATGAGATCTAAGATCAGGGCCACACATCAATTGTCTCCTCACGAGTCTGTGAATATGTCTTCTTTTGAATACACAACCTCGTATGTGGTAAGTATATTAGTTCAGCGGTAAGATATCTGTCGATTTCCACGATCAGGACACTGTCCAGGTGGCAAAGCGTCTGGCGCATGCAAACAGCGCTAAATAGTGTGTGGTTTTCAAATGGCGAACATTACTCGAGTAGACTGTCTTGCAATCTTAACACCATGGTGTGATTTGGTGAAGCGTCGTGGAGATTAATGTGTGCACGATGTGAACATGACCCGGTTGTTACTGAGGTGGGCTTATAGGTATGGCAACATTAAAGTTGTGGATGACTTGAGCTGTAATGATCGCGATAACTACATATTGCTGCCAGTTGGTAACTGTTCCAGTAATGTTCGAGTTCGTTAAGTTCTTTATTTATTTTTGGCTGAAAAAGCCTCTGATCACTATCAACGCCTTCTACGTCTCTGTTCATCTGTCGACAATATCTTGCCTTGAAAACCGTTTAATTCGAATGCTTGTCTGCGCAAAGATAGGTGTTAGGTTTGAGCATGTTGGTGAGACACGAAGTGTGGAATGGATGGTGTTTAGACAAGTCACAGAGGTGCCTGTGATGGCTGGCTCTGTCCACACCAGCGATGTACTCACATGACACGTGAACATCTCCAAACTGGCCACACAAGTAGGTTGAGCTACATGCCTTGACTTATGTGCATCAGCTGACCCTCACTTCGAAGTTCGCCTTCCACGAAACGGATTGTCGACACGACAACGCACCTCATGAGCGTCTAGCTAGTAAATAACTGCCCATCTCCTAATCGACGCATTGCTTCTTAATGAATAGCAGGTTGATGGAAATTACTGGTAGTTCCGTGGAGAGACTCTTCATGTAGGCGTTCGCATTTCGCGTACGTGATTGCTTGTCGATAGTGTTCTTGTTGTGACAGTGGTCAGGGGATAGTGGCTAATGCGTTTATTTACTACATCTTTCACTGTAAAAATCACAACTCTTACCAAGGATTGCCCATCAAGCATTCATGATAAGTCACTGACTCCGTAAAATTTATGGCTTTGAGTGATTAAATTCAGAGAGAACGATATCGCTGGAATCGATCGCGTTAGTTTTTGTAAAGACGGGGGTTAGAGGGAAGCGCTCCTTTCACTCCATGAGCAATGATCGAACGGCTTGACAACGGTGGTGTGATGAACAGTAACCGCGGTTATCTTGGCATGACAACCGGCCAGATGTTGTGAGGTTTGATCGTGTTGCCGTATTGCACACAGACCACGGAGCGTGTGTGTGCAGTACGCGCTAATATCTGAGTTGTCATGCACGTCTCATGCCATGTGTGTTAATCCTGCTTTGCGATGGTGGAAGTGACAGTTGGAGAAGGCGAAGGGAGTGGACGTGGTTGAATCTGTGACTTTCCAATGCAATTCAAAATTCCCAAGCAAAAAATTCAACATCAAGAGTGCGGAATGGCGCACGACAATAATTTGATAGTGAGTCAAGGTTAAAATCGGAAGAATAACACACCAAAGATGCCTCTAGTATCAGAAATAAGCTACACTCTGCTGCAGTGACGAAGAACAAGTCTCAACCAGTCCCGAGGACCTCTTCGACCTACATCGAGTTGCATCGACTAAGATTTGGACGAGTAAGCACGCATTGTTACCATTGGGACTCTTGAAAACCCTTTTGACGAAGTTGCAAATTGCAGACTGGTAAAGGGCACTGCCAATCAGTACACAGTCAGCCGTGACGAATTCGATGACGCATTGTTAGCTGCTTCGAATGGAACTGGCGTCGTGGCGGTTCTCGTGCCGCGTGCCACAAGCGACGGTGCATTCTTTGCGTAGCAAACGTCGTACGAGCCACCACCGATCGATACCCGCTGGTGCGACTGCTCGATGTCGGTGTGTGGATAGCAAAGACCGTGGTGTTTGTGGCGTTGCATCAAGATGACTGTGTACAACGGAACCGGCCTTTTTTGACCAATCACAAGCCAGAACAATGCGTCAGGCGCATTCCATCTATGTCCACCACTCTGGCTACGCCCACCATCATATACCACTCCTCGCACGCCATTCGAACGCATCGAGAGAAAAGATTGGCTGAGGCCAGCGTGGTCCATTGTGTCTGCGCCCTTTTACGTCGCTACAACGGACGTTATCACAAGGGGTTGCGTTGTGCTCCGCGATGTCAGCCGCCACTCTTACACCTCCGTGGGTGTCCATCCAAATGCTCCAAACATTCCACCGCATTCCCCGTCCCTTGAATGCCTAATTTTGGCTTCCAACATGCAGAGTGGCAAGACAATCCAAATCGCACCTGGTTTTGCTGTTATCGCACACTGAAAACCGAAGATGCATTCATTATCAATTTCTACATACTTTTCCTTAATCTGCTTCGTCCGACTAGCAAGTGACCTTGACGAAATCGATTGTTTAGTTAATCTAAGCAGATTTTACGCAAATTATGCTTCAACGTGAAGGATGTTAGCATTGGAAGTTCTCATTTTGTCAGCCACCCGGCAGCCGACTTTGGTCCAACAACCGATCACGAAAAGTGTAGCGCATCTACCAATAGCACCACAGCTGTAATCCTCATGATCCTTCTTTCATAATTAGCCCTCGTGTAGTGTGACTTGTTGCCCAAGTTCCACGCATGCTCCCCTAGCACTTGGGGCATTCCCTTCGATTCCTGTTTTTCTTTGAGTTCTCGTATTCCCTGGCTACGTCAACAGAGACAATGATCATTTTGCTCAGTGAAGCGAATGAAGTGCACTTGTGGGAGCCCAAGAGACCAGTTCAACAGGGGTTCAGTAGAGGGGAACTACCAGCAGCTGCCCCATGCCCGGGAAGTCATGTTGGATTTTAAGGGGATTCCAGTCACATCTAAGCTAGGCTCCTCCTTCAATTCGTCACCTTATCCACTTTGGGTCGCCGTCATCCGCAGGCGTGGTTGACGTCTCGATGTTTTGCACCTCAGCAGTCACAATGA